GAAAGAGATAGAAAGTCAAGGGGTGCGAGAACCCCCCCGGCCACCATCAGGCTTTGAAAGCTGTCCTGGTTGCAGGATAAACAAAGAAACCTAAAACCCCAACCTCGCTGAGTCCCTTCTGGCTCATCGTGACCCTTACAGGACACGGGAGAACTGCCCCCTATAGGTTTCTGAGGCTGGGAATATGTACGGGAGTAGAAAGCCTCATCTTTCTCCCACAGAGTAGCTGGCAGTTTAGAACTGCTGACCTGGCAGTTGGTCAGCAGCCCAACAAGTAACCCGCTCCACCACCAGGGCTCCTCAGGAACAAGCTGGAAAAGAGAACACGGAGACAAGAAAAGCAGCCGGTCAGGCCTGGTAACCCCAAACCCCAAACAGCAGCGGATGGGAACCTTGCTGGGATGCCAACATCTCAGAGCTCATACCACATACGTCATGGTGGAGCTTCTGAAGACTCTGTCCGGGGAACCTGGGAGCTCTGCAAGACATGAACTATCGTGGCAGGCTGACCGTGCAGAGCCCAGGGGAGCCCTGGTGGCACAGTGGTTACACACTGGGCTGCCATCTGCAAGGTCAGCAGTTCGAAACCACCAGTGGCTTTGTGGGACAAAGATGAGGCTTTCTATTCCCCTAAAGAGTTCGTTTTAGAAACCCACAGGGGCAGTTCTACCCTGTCCTATGGGGTCACTATGAATCAGTAGTGCCTGGAAGGCAGTGAGGTTTCGTTTTGTTCTGGGGGGGAGGTCTATATCTCAAAGTGCCAGAAACATCCACACTGGCAGGCCCCAGCACCGGTGAGCAAGGATACCAAGTCCTGGCTGCTATGGAATTTCTGGGAGGCTCCTTTGCAAGAAAGAGGTGCTAGAATTGTGGGCACAGACCCCGCTGTTCCGAAGGACGTCAACAGTAACCGGGGCGTCAGTCTCTCTCTCTGTTGGGTCTCACTGGGAAAATTAAGTTTTGTCTTTGCCAGATGGCTGAGCCACCAAGACAGAAGGCTTCATAAAACTCACATATGAACATCCTGCGAACAGGGGAATGCATAAAGATTAAATAAGGCAGCCACGACCTTGATTCGGGTGAAACCTGCCTCCACGTTTACAACCTGAGCCCGGGCCACGCGACTGCTTGGCTTCCCAGTCTTCAAATGGGCAGGCGGGCTGGGCAGCCAGGCGCATGCACACAGGGTGACACGTGTTAGTGAGGAGGGACGTGAAAGGAATCAGAAGGCAGTGGATGGAGGCTCACACGGACACAGTATTTCTGAGGTGACAGTGAAACCCAGAGAACTGAACAACAAGAGGAAGACCCAGGATCACCCCGGGGGCAGCGTTGGCACGGACTTGGACTTGCTCATGTTTCCATACCATCCTCTCTTCCCCCCTTGCCACCAGGCTTGGTCAAGTAGATCACAAAACCAAACTCAGTACCCCTGGGTCAATGCTAACTCATAGCAACCCATCCCTGTGGGTTTCCGAGTCTAACTCTTGACAGGAGTAGAAAGTCCAGCCTTTCTCTCAAGGAGCGCCTGGTGGTTTCGAACTGCCAACCATGCAATCAGCGTGCAACATGTAAGCCGCTACATCGCCGGGGGCTCCTTGGTCAAGGAGAGGGTCATTAAAAAAACCAAGAAGCCTCTTGGAGAAAGGCTGACACTGGCTGCACCAATGGGTTCAAACAACAGCCGTGAGGCGGGTGCGGGCCTGGCAGTGTTTCTGTCTGTATGTTGTCTAGAGGGTCGCTGGGAGGCAGCTCCATGCCACCTGACTTCCACAACCACCCTTCCTGACGTGTGGCCCCGGGACAAGGAGGTACTGGTAGGATTCTAACTCCTGACCCGGCCAGGGACACAGGCAAGCCCGGCAAACAGCCCCATGGGCCTTGAACCAAGCGCCTCTTCTGCCCACCCTGCTTTTCAACTGGAAATTCTGCCTGGCCTCCACCACACTGGGTGGCGAGATGATCGCTGACCCCGCCCAACAACCCCCAAAGCATGGTGACATTTTATGGACCGCAGGCTCGGCGGCACCCTCCACTCAAAAAACTCAAACCACCATCGCATCAGTTCCAGCACATAGCAACCCTATAGGGCAGGAGAGGACTACCCCTGTGGGTTTCCAAGACTGGAACTCTTTGTGGGAGTAGAAAGCCCCGTCTTTCTCCTGCAGAGCGGCTGGTGGTTTTAAACTGTCGACCTCTCAGTTAGCAGCCCCATTTGGCTGCATGCATACCTCACTATAAGCCACCAAGGCTCCACTCTGTGTGAAAGCCTAGGTGCGGTCCACCCTCTGGGAGACAGAAGTGACATGTGGCCACCAGCATCTGGAGATGGCAGGATAGAGAGGCCAGTGCACACTCTCCCCAGACACCCCCCTCCCCCCAAGCCACTCATTAGCCTGGCCTATAAGCCGTGGCTTTGAAGATTTCGCCACTCCTGTTGGTTACCTGGTGTCAATGCTTCTTTCCTGACAAGGCTTTTTATTGCTCTGGGCTGAGAAGGCTAGACAAAAGCTAGAGAGAGAGCTGGCTTTGGGGCAGGCTGGCCTGCTGTGCTCAAGAACTTGAACTTGATGTGGATGGGAGCTGACAGTTCCTTGCAGGCCCTGTCAGCCCTCTGTCCAGCTCACATGGTCGGCTGCTCCTAGATGTGAAAACCAGACCCCAAAACCCACCCACGGGCACAGAACCAGCCTCTCCGCACCTGTTCGCCCCCTAGTAGACGTTATCCATGGAGGAGGACCCCGCTTCTCTTTTTCAAGTTGTTTTCATGACATTTAGCACTTTGAATCCTAATCCCCTTAACAAAACTGTCCCCACAAGCCTTCCTACCCCCCTCCATAATCTCCTAGCCTCTGGGGAGGAAGCAGGAGGCAGGGCAGGCTCCCTGGCAACACCTGGATTGCTGCTCTGGTCATTCACTCCAGGTCCCGACAAGCATTAGCATAAGGCATTAAAGGGAGGAAAAAAGAAAAGGCCATTCTGATGGAAATAAGGGGCAGAGAAATAATCTGCCATCGACTAAGATGCCTATTTGTGCATGGTTTCCCAAGCAAGGCTTAGGGGGGGAAAGCCGATGTTGATTTTTTAGCGTATACAAAGAAACCTAATCCTTTCAAGACAACTAACCCCCTCCTCCTCCCTTCCCCATGACCACCACCTGAAAAGCGGCTTCCAAGAAAGGAGGTTGTGTGCGCGTGCAGGCGACTATTCACTACCAAGTAGATGCCACAAACCAGTCTCTATAAGTAAACAAAAATAAGCGTGTGAGAAATGTTTGATTGCCCAAGGGGGCAGGCGGAGGGCAGAGGTGGAAAGGACACTGACTCCTTCCGGGTGGGAGGGCCTCGTGGATGGATGCAGGCACTCCCTGGCCACACACTCCCGATCCTGGCAAGACGAAGCACATTGGACACCTTTCCACGGCAGATTAGCAAATGAATGGAAATCTGGGGTGGGGGTGGGAGTGAGGGCTTATTAGTGACCCAGATCAACTCCAAGTCTCCCCATCCCACCACCTCCTCTTCCTCAGTGGGCTGCCGGCTCTCTCTCTCCATCCCCTGCCCTCTGGCAAAGGAGATAACCAATGCCCATGATGCAGCTATACCTAGGGGCGAGCTCTCTTCTTTTTGGGGGCTTTGAGCATCCCAGGTACCAAACCTACACAAACGTCCCCCCATCAAAGGCTAGGATGGAAATATGAACCTAGAATGCGGGCCATTACACAATAAAACATTGCAATCCGACGCAGTCCTTCGTTCGGGTCGGTGTGTCCCTGCGTCCACCTCCAGGGAAAATGCACCGCTGCAGCCAAGTGCATGCGGGTGGTTCAAATTCTACAAATAACCAGCAAAAGGCATTTTGCTAACCAGCTTGGCCAAAAAAAAAAAGAACACCGCACAAGGCACACAGAGAGAACCAAGCTAGCTGGCCTCAGCAGAAGAAGCTGGGGTGGGTCTCCCTTCCCATTTCACACGGTCAAGGCCCTCTCCCTTGCGGTCCCAAAGAATCTCTTCAGCGCGCCAACGAACCAGCTTGCAGTAAAGTTAAAAGACAAGAAACGACACGCAGAAAAATGGACACCCCTGCGGGTGAGTGGACTGACTCATGCTGACACGGTGCAGGGTTTCCAAGGCTGTAAATCTCGCCTGAGCAAGACAGACTCATCTTTTACCCTTTTAACAGCTGGAAGGCTGGAACTGCTGACCTTTTGGTTAGTGGCCCAATGCCTCACACACGGATATGCGTTTATTTAGCAATTACTGGGCCGTCTCCCTCAAATCGGGCTGCACAGGCTCAGGCAGGAAACACGCACCACGTCATTTATTCGGTTTCTACCTTTCCAAGGACCACCTCCTTTGCAAAACCAGTGGTTAAAGCCGGCCCTGCAATTTATCACTGTAAACAACACTGCTACAGATGCTGCACTGAAGCTGACTGGCAGTGATTTAAGGTAAGCTTCCCCGGACTGTCCAACTCTATCATGAGCCTCTGCTATGCTCGATGGCTGTTGGGAGAAATTAATGGGAGACGACATATTTGCGTGTTGCCTTCTCTCTCTCTCTCTCTCTCTCTCGCTCGCTCGCTCGCTCAATTCTAACTTCACACAAGAGCACGCAGCAGAGGAAGGCTGGGTGTGGACCCCCTAGTGCCTGCACCCAGAGCAGACCCCTGGTATATTACAGGGCTGATAAGTAACTGTGTTAAAGGTCTGCTGAAAACCACTACTCTCCATTACAGCTCCCTTCATCATCAAATTAATTGCAATACGGATTCAATGTATTTTTTAAAACGGAAGCAAACCAAAACAATAAAACACGAGCTGGGTTTTGAACGCCGTCCCCCAAAGCCCACAGCGCCCATCTCCAAGCAAAGGCACAAAATCGAAATCGTAGCTCCCGGGAAGAAAGGAATGGTGTGCTCTATCCTTGCTTCCTTCTTTCCTCGGCAACAATGAAACACAAGTCATCGCCCAAAGCCATCACTCGATTGGGGAGTCTTACCTTTGTTTGCAACAGTGTTGAAGAGTTTCTCAGAGTTGGCATCAGATGCCTGAAAAACAAGAGCAAAGTGGGGGAGGGGTCAGGGTTATTATCTTTGTTAAAACTGCTATCATTATGTTAAGTCAATTGACTACATTTTTTAAAGCCCAAACAGGGAAAGCAGGATTTCCCCTAATTGTCCATAAGGTGGCGCTAGTCGACTGTGTGAGCGAGACCTGCAGTGCAGCTATCTACTGGAGGAGGGTTGTGTAGTGCGTGTGGTAGTAGGGGGGGATGTGCTTTCAAAAAATGTGTCCTTCTATTAGACATATTATCTGTGCAAAAAATTTTTATGCGATGATACACAAAGCAATTCAGCTCATTCACATAATGATTCTGCAATTTCATTGCTAGAACGTTATTTTAGAGAGAGTCTTTTTCCCCCCACGGTATTTGCAGACAGGTTTATTTTTCTATTTCCTCTCACCAACCAGAAACGGCTCTTGTTTACCTCGTTGCGTTCCCTCCCTTTAAAAAAGAAAAACAAAAGCAAAACAACAAAAACTGTGAAGCCCCACAATAGAAATTTTTTATTTTTAGAAATTAATTTTTAAGGATGTATGTGGTAACCCCAAGACGAGGGTGGGTCTGGGGTGGGGTGGCTTCCTAACGTCATCAGGGCCACTGTGGTGTCAGGCGAACACAGGAAGTTAGATCAATCTCCAAGCCTGACCACTAGATATTCGTAAAACGTGATTTCATTTGGCCAGTTCTAAAGCGTAGGGCTGATCACTTATTCCGGTGGCTTGGGGAAAGTGAAAAATGCCTGGTCGTACCTCCAGACTAAAGGCAATTTAAATTATTCATTAATGTTCAGGAAAATAAACATTGCGAAGCACTAGCTATTTCACCAACTTGAAAAACAGATTATACATTAATCACCACCCATCGTGGCATCTGAGCCTCTACCGGCATGCATGGAGAAAACTACCTCGGGTCCTCTTTGTACGCACTCCCCTCGTAAGCAGTCACTTACACTCACACTTGGTACACAGAGATGCATGTAGGACCAAGCAACGCCCAGTATGTTGGGCGCGAGCAAAAAAAATAAATACAGAAAATAGTATAGCTCTTGGGGACAAAGGAGAGACTCGGTTCGGTCTATCTATGCCACCGTGACAGAGATCAAACATCCCAATGTCTATCTGGGGATGGGGATGTTATAGTTGTCCATGAAATGATAGGGAAAGAAAATATTTTCGTATTTGACTTCCAATCTTCCCACTGTCAGATGGCTCTGAAGATGAACGGATCGAGGAAAGAACGCATGTGAAAAGCAAGTATGGAGCTACGAGCATTCGAGCGTCCACAGTTGAAAAATCAAGCCTCGATAGATTTCCTCCCCTGGTTTGGCAGCAATAACCTCTTCAAAGAAAAAATAGAAACAAAACAAAACAAAACTGTTGCCCTTCTTGCTATCTTAAGCATTAAAAAAAATAAAACTAAGCATTGTAGTCGATCTCCACACAAACACCCTGCCAAAGAAGGGGGCAGGGGGAGAAGTTACACACGAAACCTATCAGGAATCTTTGAGTCCAAACATCAGAAAAGTACAGGCACGGCGGCAGGTGTGACAATGAAAGGCGAGGTGAGATTTCCAGGAAGATGCTTCTCCCAAACACTTGAGGGATGCGCTTTCTCTCACTGTTTTCAATGAAAAGGGGTTTCCTGATTCCAATAGGTATGGCCATCAACAACCATACCACCACCACAAGAAAACACACAACACACCAAACAACCCCAAGCCAGGCTGCTTATTTTTCCCCAAAAGAAGGCTCTTCTTATTTCACTGAACTGAAAGAACCCTTGAAAAACCTGGGGCCTTGGATGGCTCGTCAAAAGGAGTCAAGTGGCCCAAAGAAACCTTCTGACCAAAGTGCTGCACTCCAACGGCACCAAGCCCAGGAGTGGCTCCTTACGAAGTTTCTACTTGCACTTGCGTGTGAACGTGGGAATGTGTCTCAGGGCACCAGCTACAGCTGAGCAGGCGGTTCCCGGCTGTCTCTGGGACCTTTCCTTGGGGTTGCCACCTTGGTCAACTCCACTGGACCCCAGGCCACATTCACAAATCGGCATCCGGGGTCAGAACAAACTCGACGATTTGAGGCCGAGCGAGCCCGAG